CACGTATTTCAAGCGGCCGTAAAAACGTCAAGACGGTATATTATATTTTTATGTACTGGGAACCATTTACGCCACGTATATATACCGTATAACAATACATAATAATAATGCGTACAATAATAAAATATAATAATATATATATAATATGCATCTAGCTGGTATAGACGTCGATTCCGAGCTTTTCGCGAAACACGACGCTTCCGTCTCGTAAGTCGTAACATTGTTTATTAAAAACAAAAAACCGTTTCCAAACCACAACCTAAGGAGTGTTACATAATTTTCTGAATCTCTTTCACAGTGCTCGATATACGTCTCTTGCAGTGTGTACACATTTTATCGCTTCGAAATACAACGATGACGTGACGAGAAAACGCATTAGTTGTAACTTGTAAGTTGTAATATTCATATATTAGAGTATATGTATATAAAACATAGTATATACAATATACATCATAATAATATTATGTGTGTTTGTGTGTAAACTATAAAGTAGGATCTAAAAAATATTAGTCGCATATAATTTTACGACGATTGCCTCTTGTTTACTCGATTCGTTCTATCCGTACAGCATTTATGCGTTTTTTTACGGTTTGTTTCGTCTGCTGCAGTAAATCACCGATACGGCCAGTTTTTCTGCCCATTTTTTTTCGTAATAACAATAATCGTTTTTACGATCGTTTTAACATGGTTCGCGAAAAAAAAACATATCGTTATTTCGATTGCATAATAATATTTTATATTATATTAGGTATATATTAAATAAGTGCACCGTGGGCCGTGTCACATATTGTATTATTTATGTCGACCTATATACACGAATAAACTATAATATTATATTAAATAAACTATTTTTTATCAGAACACTTATTATAACCAGCTAAAGATAGATCACAACACAACTTACAACTCACTATATTGCATTTTATTTAAAAAAAATAATCATTACCCATTTACCCCTCCCTAGATACCGATTATATTATTATTGAACATAATTAAATATTAATAGAAAACGTGAAAAGCCCTTTCCATACTCCTGGAATCCAGGTGATTGAAATATTGAGATTTTATTAAACCATTAAGGTATACTAGGTGTTATCAGTATTGTTTTTAATATTAAACTTTTAAACGGATATTGCAACACCTTGATTTGAACAAACGTACAATGGTAGAGTCCTCCTCCCACCACCCAATTAAAATATCAAATTTTTGTGATGAACAATTTTAGAATAATTATATACTTTTTAACATTGTCACGTCTATATAGCGAGTTCATATTTTTGAGATGTAGTACATGATATTCTTTTTTAATAGTCAAATAAATCTAAGCTAAACACCACACGTGTTTAAAATTCCTAGTTAACAATTATCGAAAACGAAATAAGTTGATGATTATGTGTATTATTGTTTAAAAGTCTGTACTAATAAGAAACAACATATTTATGTAAATAATCAATGAGGCAATTCCAAAACAATTTTTTTTAATATGAAGATAATACTCACATTTTAGGAATCTCTAGATCTAGACTCTAGAGAGATGATATTTTCTTAAATAATATCAACTTTTTATGTTTCATTAAGAAATGTATTTCAGAGACCATGAAGTGTTATTTTGTTTTCGAAATTATATTTACTAACATGTGAAAGCTACCTTAGGGCACAAATAATAATCATTTTTAGAAATTTTTTTTAAGTATAACTTGTGCTCCAGACAGGCACCGTATAAATACGAGAGATATGAATTAAATATTATCATTATATTATCATTATCATACAATATTATTAAAGACTTATCGAGTCATGTATGTTTGGTTGCCTACCGTCACGGCTCGCCGGGTTAGTGTATACATACTACAAACTGCAGTCGACTATGGTATTTTTTAAATTTTCATACACACGTATTTATATGTACTTCCGAAGATTCTTTTTTTAATTTGGAACATTTATATGCGGAATGATTTAAAATAAAAAAATAATATAAATTATAATTTTTTGTGTATCAACATTCTACCTAAGTATATTAAAATGTTATGATCATAACCTGATGATATACAATATATACTCCGTATAATATGATAATACAATTAATTTGAGGCCGCTGTGAATTGATAGGGTTCAAAGAATAAAAACTGTAAAAACTAGTGTGTAGACCATAAAGTATTTCTAAAAAAAAATTATCCTCGATAGGTGACGAAACTGCGTGTTTAAATATTGTATGGAATTCTAATAAAACGTTTTGCAATATACCCGTCGTGACCGCCTGTACATTGAAACATAAATCGGTATAATATTGTATGTAGGAGGTATTATCCTATATATTTTCTACAAATACCTATATCAAGATATTATATCTAAAAGTGTTAATCAGTTTGTTTGTAAGCTTAATGTAATTATTAATTGTACATATATACCCTCACATAAAATAAATTGTTCCCATATAGCATAATAAAAAATTTGTTGTATAGGTACTTATATATGCGATTTTTATTCTATAGTGTTTGATTATAACCTCACGAGTATTTAAAGATCAAAAAATATTTACTAAAAGAACGTAATCTTGTATAGAAGTGACGAGCTACATAGTACATACCTATAGGTAAACAGCTTACATAATATTTTCCATTTAATGATAGATTAAAGTAAATGTATGAATTTATAACTATGTATTTTATATAACTGTATTTTTGGAATGTAGGACTATTTCCCCTCGGACATTTCCCCCGACTGTTTTTGGCGTAGTAGGACATATAATATAAGTAAAGGTTTCAATAATAAGTTTAAATCTTTGGTAAGAACTCAGCATCCAAATATTTGGATGTTCATTGAATAACTACAAAAGCTACTGTTATAGTGAGAAAGAAATAAAGGGTATTATGACAAAAATGTGGTCTTCATTTGATAGATTAAGAATTTCGGGAGTAATAATTGAATAAATGTTGCACACAATAAGGCTATAACTACAAAAACAAATTATAAAATAAAATATTACATACAATAATTCTTGATATGCATGCAATGGCTGTGTATAATCACCTATATTAACTGACAAAACTAATTTACTTTTTAAGACATGTCTGGGGTGGGTAGACATAGAGGGGGTTCCACAGTCAAGGTCTCTCAAGACTTGGAGTTAAAGATGAGTTTATTTCTCTGTAGGGAAATGAAAAGGCATTCAGTTCATGTAGGTGAGTCATTGAGGTATAATTTGTATATGTAATATAGATATATATAAGCTTTAAGAACAGAGAAAACAAAACATATTTTTAACTAACTATACAAACTTCAAAAACGGCTAAATAACAAGTATAATAAATAAAATATTAAAATAAATTACTTATTTCTGAACAATAACAAAATAGTTTTTCTTAAATAAACTACGTTCCGATCATTTTACAGTTTTTTTTAGCAATTTCCTATAAACATAATTTCAAAAATAAACTGTTAGTCCTCAAGTATACCACCTGTGACCAATTTCTTATAGGTTGATAAAACTACAGTGTGCGCTTTGGATTGATTTTATTAATCCAAAATGTGTATACTGATAATGTAAACACATACATACATAAGTAAGAAAATAAATAGAACTGAGGAAAAAAATTTTTCTTTAAAAACACAACATTGTTAAAACCGATAAAATAAAATAAAATCACGAAAAATAACAAGCGGTCGAGGTCATGTGCTTTAGAACGATTTCCAAGAACGCGTCTTATCGACCGGATCTCTATAATTCACATAATATACCTGCAGGTATGGTATGCCGTGTTTCCTTATTAAAATAAAAAAATCGGTTTACAATCAAATATTCATTTCTTTGTTCGTTGTACCGACATGAGCGCTACGGCCGCGGCATGTATAATACATATATATAGGTATCTACTCACGGAAATTAATCTCTTTGACATTATGTATTTAATTATTTATTATCTAGTTAATACATTAATTACCAACGATATTTCACAGCAAGATACATATAATATCGTTGTTTAGATTATTTAAAATACGTAAATCCGATAACTTATGGTTATGATTTTTCAAAACATATATCCGTATAATAGCGGTCATGTACAATATAAATGAAATGTTCAATATAGATATGTGTATTTGAAATGCATGGAATCTTATAGGATTATTCACAAAAAAAAATTGCATTATTGTAAAAACATTAGCTCTCCTCGGAAAGGTACTTACATATAATAATTAATGGTAATTATAAATATAACAATTTTGAAGAATTAATTTATATTATTCTTGAAATATCGTTCATATGAATAGGTAAAACGAAAAATATTAAACCCCGATAACGCAAACGCTCTTAAATCTATACATATTAATATATTATTATATTATTATAAAAACACAAGTACCTACAAGATTATCAATACATTAATGAATTTGGTAAATTAATCATACTCACTTAAAATCTAGTGAATCAATAATAATAATTATTATATAGGTATATTTTATAATAAATATTACTGTAAATTATAAATAATAAATAATTCAATGTACCTACGGTCCAAGGTACCTATATATGGTAGGACTATAAAATATAAATACAAGTAAAATAATTACCAACGTTATTATTGTAATGCTTAAACATTATGCTTATAAATGCTTCTATTTTACAATAGTAGTTATATAATTCAATAAACAATACTACCTACAATCATATAAGATGCTTGTCTAATAAACATTGTTTTAATTTAACATGTTAACAGTATTATGCTAATAACATAATGAAAATAGCCGTCAATTTGAATAATTGATGTTATTTAAGCTGACAAAAACAGAATGGCTGAATTTACTTATAATACATGGTACACTATAGTGCACTAACAAATTATGTATGTAGGAGTATTGTGAAATTATGTGCTAATAATTAATATGGCAATACTTTATACTCATAAATAAACAGTATGCTTTACAAAATAAATGTATTATTATGCACATTATACATGTTGATATAACCATAAGTAATAATTTATTGTTTTTGCACGATCAAAATATATATGTTTGATTTCCTAATGTTTAATTAATTATGTATTTATATAATTCTGTTTTAGTTGTTAAAATGTACCCGTCTCGTTATATGAATTTATATCTATATAAAGGTTACCTATTATGTACAGCGGTACAATAAATTATTATCGTTTCGCACCTACACTATATTAATGTAAAGGACACGCGTGCGGTTACGCATACAAGGCGACTCGTTAAATATATCCCAATACTGCCGATCACATAAAATAACCTATATGACAGGTGCGTGTTTTTTTAATGTTTTTTGTACATCGACCTATAGAATCCAAAGACAATTTTTTAAAAATGTATATATAGCAGTGATCACTGGTCTCCGGCGTGTAATCGTGGGCGATGAATTTGGGTCGGGTATGTAAAATAATATACATACTACAAGATTTAAACGCGAACAAAATTAACAATTATTACAAAACGAGCGATAGGAAAAAATCAAAATCAACTTATAACAATAACAATACTAATATGTTAATACTGTTGTTATTCATTATTAGCTTTAGGTATTATACTGGTATTAATAATCATCATCATAATCACCTAAAGTAGTGATCGCGGCTAGGAGAAAAAGTGAAAAAAAAACGATGGGTCGTATGCCGCGAGAGTGCGCTGTCGGTGGCGGCGCACACGAGACCTGCGCGCTCGTCGATTGGCCGTCGCCGCGGAGGGGACAAGTCTCCGGCTACGCGGACGGGGGCGACGCCACCGACCCGCGCGCCGCACCCAACCCGTCCGACGAGCCGGCCACCACGGCCGCCGCCGTTGCTGCGCGTGTGCGCGCCGGTTCGCGCGCGCGCGCCCGTGTAGGTAGTGCCGTGGCGGTGTGGTCGTGTGCGCGTGTGTGTGTGAGAGTGTGTGCGCGCGCGTCCGGAGAGAGGTAACGCGACGACTGCGACGCGGACGACGACTGCGACGAGACGACGACGGTCGACTGGGCCACGCCAATACCCTCCGCGCGCCGCCCGGGTCATAAACGATCTCACAAACAAGTGCTCAACGTTCGGGAAATTACCCGCGCCGCCATATAATATTATATCGCCAAAGGCCGCCGCCGTCGCCAGTGATCGCGTCGCCGCCGCCGCCGCGCGGGTCTTTTTATTTTTCCGCCGCTACATTAGATACGGTTCGAAGATATTTTTTCGATTGATAAAATTATAAAAATTTTGGTAGTCCCGTTCGTTTTTTTTTTTACTCTCGTAGATCCGCCGGGTCTTTAACCACACGGCACTCCGGTGTCGGTCGTCCTGTGTCCGTTCAGTGTGCGTCTTCGTCGCTCGCCACACGATCGTCCGCGATATTTTCGGGTTTTGAATAATATAAATAAATATATTGACAACAGTTTTGTGTTTTTTTTCGATCGACGTTTGTTTGGTTTTTTACGACGATACATTCAGCATCTTGACGGCATAATGCGGTGGCGTTGACCGATTCTAGCACATATCTATAGATAATTTTGTATTTCGACGACCCGAAGAGAGAAGTGCAATAAAAAGTTGAAACGTATTTTACATAATATTATACGCACGTGCGGGCCAAAAATCGCACCGCAATAGTACTACAATCCTGTCCGCGGCCGCAACTTACGCGCCCGTCATGAGTTCAAAGTTCATCATCGACAGCATGCTGCCCAAGTACCACCAACAGTACCACCACCAGCTCCTGAACCCCGTGATCACGTCCGGCGGCGGGCTGGACTCGTCGGCCGTCAACTACAGCCTGACGCCCAACAACTCGTCGTCCAGCAGCGCGGGCGGTTCGCCGCCGTCCACGTCGTCGCTGGTCTCGCCGGCCGCCGGCCGCATGTACCCCGCGTACGCCGTCCACCATCACCAGCAGCAGTTCGGCTCCGGCGCCGGTTCCATGGCGTTCTCGTCGCCCGGCTCGGCCGCCCTGGCCGCCGCCGTCCAGGACGCCGCGGACAAGACGTCGTCGTCGTGCCGGTATGGCGGTGGCGTCGGTGGCGTGAGCGTCGGCGGCGTGTCCGCAGCCGATACGATGGTCAACAGTTACGCCGCGTTGCACCATCACCACAACCAGAACGGAGGCGGCGGTACCGGCGCCGTGTCGTCCATGGCCGCGGCCGCTCAGTTCTACCACCAGGCGGCCGCCGCTTCCGCCGTGGCCGCTGACCCGCTCAACACCGCGTGCGCCGGACAGCCCGGAGCCCCCGGACCGCAGCCCATGCCCGACATACCCCGGTACCCGTGGATGTCCATTACAGGTAAGCACGTCACTGTTACTTACCTATAGTTTGTTGCAATGTTTTTGCGCCGTTTGTTGCACGAAAGTCTGTTGAGCGCGTAACATCGCTCTTCGTCGTGCGTGTCATACGCTCATCACATTACCACCCATGTCATCATTTTGCATTTAAATACTCCTCAGAGACCGCTAGTCGTTTCCGATAAGCTAAATTTTCGAAATCCATTAGCTTGTAAAACGATATTGTAGAGACATCAACTTAGGTATTGTGTTTTGGGTATGATAATATACGTATTACGACACCTATATCGTGTGAAACCTGATTATATAGGTACTTTAGTGTATGCGGGAGATTTACAGAAAAAAAGCTTTCGAGTTCCGCATTATATCTTTACGATCCCGAACTGTCATTTAACGACTTTATACCGTAACACGCGCTTGCAAATTAATTGATATCGCGTAGTTATTTAGTTTTGATGTAATAAATGTTATTGGGAAGCTCGATGAGATTCTAAGACAATTTGATTTAATTTTTTAAATTTTATATAGTCACTTTTTAAATCTACACCCATCGCCAACTAAAATTACGTTATAATTTATGTGATAGGTCTACTATATTATAGTACTTTATTGCACAAATCAAATATCAATTTAATATGCCCATAAAATATTGTAATTAAAAAAAAAAACGTTAACCCAAGTTTAATAATAATATGTAAGCTACTATAATATTGTATTATATTGATATGAATTTATTATTTGTTACTATATTATCGCATTCAAGTTGGTAGTTGAAGTTTGTGTTTATATTTATAATACTTATAAAACTAGGTTAAATAAAACACATGCTTCTTTAACAATATTCTTAATATTGTATATATATACCTACGTAGGGAAGTACTAATATAATTTAGTACGGGCCTAAATGTTGAAACATATGCTTTTTTTATTCACAAATGTCTTCTTATTTCATGTCCTGATTACATTAGGTAGTTAATTTATTATTTTAACTACACAAATGATATTAAATGAACAATTTTATATATTTATGCCACCAAATAATATTATTTAAATATCTTAATGTCCCCATCATAAAGTAAAGACCATTAAAATTTAATTACCCTATAAATTATATGTAAATAAGCAATAAACGTACAAACCTAATTATGTGTACAGCAATTGCCATTATAATTTATACTAATATAATTAAATATTAATTATAATATAATGATACATATTTTACTAAATTATATACTAGCAAACAAATTATTCATTAATCATTACAAAGACTATAAAAATGTTTTAAATTAATCGTTTTTTTTTCAGTACCAAAGTACAATAATATAATTAAATTTAACATTTTGTACCAAAAATGTGTAACGTATAAGCTCAGTACTTATCTACCTAATAATAAATAATTAATAAAACATTAGAAAAGAACTTCAAATTGTGTAAAAAAAATGAATTATAAATATTAATATACCTCCTAATAAAGAGATCATAGTTATGAAGAAAAAATTAATCTTCACACCATTTAGTCGGTATTTGCCAAAAAACGTTTGAAAATACATTACATTCGACTATAATAGTGCCAATAAGTTGTGTGTGTGTGTTGATGGCATTATAAAAATAATATACTCGAATAATATTATGTATATTTGCTTGGAATTCAACCAATTTATTATTGCCTAAATCTAATACTAGCCATTACACGGACGCCCGCATCTCATTGTAGACAAACTCGCCTATTACTTACTACCCACGCAAACTCTAGTATTATTTTATTAGACTATTATTTCATCGCTTATTTAAATTAATTGACCAGAATGTTTAAAATAATATTTATTTTAATAGTGTTAGGTTATATTTTATATTCTTTTATAATATGTTCAAAACGTTTTTGTCCCTACATTTATTTATGAAAAAAAAAAAAAACAATAACCGTTGGAAACCCAATATTGTGAAACTAATAACTACGATTCCTAAAATATTATTTCACCGAAAGAGTTATTAAAGGTATAAATAACACACGTTATAAATCCTTAACCAAAATATCACATTTATTTCGTAGTAAATTCCGTGAAAAACATTTGAATTACTGTGAATATTGTTTAATTAGTAATTACTGGAAAATTAATATTATTATAGGCAGACTAATACTTGTGATATCTTTATTTTTACTTTTCGTGGAGAAACAGAAGAATGTAGTCGACACTTAGATTTAATAGAGAAATTAAAGATTTTTAATTATTGGTATCAATCTTTTTCATTCTGTTACTTATATGGTTATATTATTGTTCCATTGCTGTATTTACTTAATGTTATTTTGGTGTTCAAGTACTTTGTTCAACTTAATAATTAATAATGATAGTCATTTCAGTTGATCAGATTAATGATACACGCTTTTCACAAGAGCTGCAGTTGCACAAAGCAAATAATATATATAATCATATAATATTATTTATCAATATTATAATATCTTTAATAAAGCTATAAAAGAAAATGTGTTCACTAATGAGAAACTACTGTAGACGGTGTAGGTATAAAAACTGTAAAAACATTAATTGTAATGTTATAACATCGAGGAAAATGTTTAGGTAGGTGCCTAATTGTAAAACAAATATAAAATCGCTGCCGTGTATACGAGAACTTACCTATTGCAAAACAAAATATTCATGTAGATGTACTGATTAAAAAAAAAAACATGCAGAACGTAATGAAAACACAGTGTAATAATAGTAAGACTTCCACAAATTTGTAATAAATAGCCAAAATATAAACATTAAAAAGTTAGGCAATAACCATCAATAAATTTATTCTACAATTATTTTTGAAATTTACCGAGAATTAATTTTCAATAGTATTATATTCTAAATTGTTAATGATATAATTAGAAAATAGGTATAATCAAGTATTATTCCTGTTAAGAATTTAGATTAATTTTAAAATTTTGTGAATTTTTGTGCATCTTTGACTTTCGCGTAGTAATAAATACTGATAAGTCATAAAAACGAAAGATATTTTAGAATATAATATAACCACGTCAGTTCACTAAATTTAAAAGTACAATTTTATCAAAACCAGTGTGCAATAAATTACGAAATTATACTTGGGTGGGTGATCAGGGCTCAGGGGGGTATCGAGTGTGTTTTTCAGTACACGTTTAGCCTGTTGAAATCGTTAGAAACTGATGTCTCATCGACCTTAAGCGAAAGAGCGATATTCGCTGATGACCCTTAAGCTAACACGAATTCATAATAATTCATAATAACTTTTAAATACTATCGAAAATAACTTGTATTAATCAGTTATGAACCTTAATCATCATACTTTCCCCTCGATAGTACATCAGTACACAATAAATAGGTACCAGATACCTTTAAAATAATAATAATATCATTACTTCGCTGATTAAACGTTGTTTATGATATGCATCTGCAATGGTCAATCGTTAAAAAAAAATAATTTTGGCGCGCACGTGGCCTTATATTAGTTTTTTTGTATAAAGAATCTCATTTTCATTTTTTGTTAACTTTTTGCGCGCGCGTTCGTGTGTGTGTACTTGACAGACGGCCATTTGCATAATTGTCGAACAATAGACTATACGAGCGGGCAATAGTAGGCGGGTGGGTACGGCCCATCGCTTACAATAATATGATACCTCAGAGAAGATCATCGAGCCGCCAAAACCGGTTCGAGTGCCCATATGAATTTTCGCACGAAACAAATAAAAATGATTTAGCGTTACCGCCAATGGAGCTTTTGTGCGCCTCTCGTCGTCATATTATGCCGGTGGGGATACGCGGTTGTGGTCAAATTGGAAAAAAAGTACTAACGGTTTGCCCAATTTCCCGAAAACTTAACGACTCGTATACTGTTTAGAAGTATCAGAAAGGGTGCGCTGACCAGATACCATAATATATATATGTAGGTATCTCGAACCGTTGAACCTTGGAATAGCGTATAATGTAGTTGGGGAGTAGCTACCCTCGCGCACAAATACTTTCACAGAGGGGTCCTCACCCTCCGTCACTCGCCTCACCGCTATTTGCAATAGCATGGCCGTAGTCTCATTTCCACTTGCACCGAGGCGCCAAGACATTGGCTGCGATGCCGGTTGCACACTAATTGTTAACTCTCACTATTTGACTGTTTCCCCATGTATAATATATATCATATAATGTGTGGTATACTAGCAAAAATTCCGCTATATATAATTAGAGAAAAGGAAAGATATGATGTGACGCACAATCAAACTCCCAATTGGTATCAATATAAATTGTAACTAAATGATTTACCTGACGAAATTAATTAATAATCTTGTAGGTACAAAGTACCAATATCGATAAAATATTTGCATAATGTATCGGTTAAATATATATTGTTGTATATGTTGAACAATGTTGAACAATTTCTACGTATATATAAATCATAACTTTTAAAATGAGTTCAACATCACCACTGCGCATAGGTATTAGTTATGATTTATGATTGATCAATGGATAAAATGGGTCATATTATTAATTATATGGTCCTACCCAGTATAAATGGTTGTTCATCAGATTTTCGTCGAGTGTCGAAAATGTATAGAAAGTTCTAAAGATCACAATTGTTATGACGTAATACACGTTATTTACTATCCGAGTAGTCAATACTTCACTCGTAGTGCAGGCAATTTCAACTCGTCTGATGATCAATAAAATCCACACATTAATTAGCATATTAAAAATGTATCAATAATATTTAAATTTCCATGCAATGCGTTAGCGCCGCAGACACACTAGACTGTTTGTCAATTAAAAAAAAATAAATAAAAAAAAACTGTCAATAATACTGATTCGATAAAACGCAATTTATATATGTATTGATTTACACGCTGAGTCGACGAAATATAATCAAAGATAATACACACAAAAGCATTTTCGTGTTGTCCTCGCGATTTTGATTTTTAATGTGAAATTATTGGACGTACCGGATACCTACGTTTTTTTTTTATTAACGTTATAAATCGTTGCAGTACACTGTTGTTGTATTACCTATATTTTTTAGGAAAAAATTAAAGTATATCGAGCTCTCTCAACAAATGTGCGTGTGATGTAATAATGTAACAGTGTGTATTTGTAATTGATATCATGTTCGTAATATTATTTTAAAACGTTTTTTTTTTTGTTTCGTTTCAGATTGGATGAGTCCGTTCGACAGAGTCGTTTGTGGTGAGTACCGAACACGTTTGTTATTTAATCGTCTATCTAAGTTTACACGTACCAGCTATTAGCCTTAATACTCGTATATTATTATTGTCGTTAGGCTTACGAGTCGATGAAGCGATTTTACAATCGACTCGCACTAAATAATATTATATGTGCGGCGATTGTCGTTTTCCGTTATCCCTTTTTCCCGCCACCCACTCGTTATATTTTAAGCCCCTAAAAAATATACCCACACCCCAACGGCGGAGTTCATGATATTAAATGTGATTTTACCTACACGCGGTTTTCACTCGTTTGCATACTCTGTCCGTGTAACAATAATAATATGAGCGCATACAACATCATAATAATATAATATTTGAAGATATAGGTACCTATATTAAGTACTTGAAAAGCTACTTCTCTGCGCGCGTAACACGTGCGTATTATAGAGCCGCACCAGAGCCGTCGCACACGGGCTACATTAAATATTTTTATGGCCACACACTCGCGGGCCGGCCAGTTAATAGTTTTTTATTGGACAACAATAAACGTTATAACAGCGCGGTGTATTATTAAAAGTACCTATATGTCCCTCTTCCTCTCCTCTCTTTTTCTTATTATTATTTCTCCGTCACACACTGAGTGGTATAAATTATGATTTATCGTCTTGTGCGTGTGTGCGCGCGCCTGCGTACTGCACTCGGCCTACCGTCGTAGTCGTCGTCGGGGTTGACTCCTCGTCATTATGAGTACCCTTTTTTGTCCGCGTGAGATAATTTCACCCCTTTTCCAGGTATATCCCCGCCATTATAATACAACAACACATTATCATTTTAATGATTCGCCGCGTACCTGCGCTTGATAATATATAATAATATTTCACCGGTGGCGGCGGCGGTATTTACCAATGGCGACGCCGGGAACGTAGGTATATACATAATGTAATGTAATACGAACGGAGGAATAATATAATAAACGCGAATTAAAAGAATAAATAAATAAACGGTCCGTGGGCGCGCGTCCGCGATGGTGCAACTACGCGAAGAAACGTCGAAATGCCTATTCATCGCGCGTGAAAAAAATCGTATATACGTACGTACGTGTTTAATCCTCTCCGTCCGAGTTTTATGCAAATCGCCTCCATGATAATATATTAGCGTCCATCGCACGACGATCCATCGAAATCGGTTATGGTGGGGTGGTGGTGTCGGTGGGCTTGGATCTATATACCATGTGCTCATTAGCATACCCCATAGTACTAACCCATAGACTTTTCCGATGTAGGGGTATTTGTCATTTTTATCGTATACGTCACGATAAGCATTATATTATTATTATTATTATTAGTATTATTATTGTCAAACCTTCGCCATAACGCGTTGTCAACGCGCGTGGGCCGCGTCGGAGCCGACCGATACGTCGTTAGTCGTAGTGATATATCGGCGGTATAATAGGTATAGTATTATCATGCCGTCGGTCAGAACGAATAAAATAACAATAAAATATGTATTAATTTACACCGCCGCCTAGCCCATTATCGTATATAACATACCATTATTATTATGGATAATGGCCGTGTGCGATATGCGAACTGTAAACGTTTTCCGTTCGGAAATGTAGTATATTATTTTGTTACACGCCGCCGCCGACGCTGCGCTCTTCTATAATACGCCTCTTATAATAATAATTATTTAGTACCGTTTAATATTTTGTGTCGCCCATTACGCGTCTATTTACGACGTTAATAATATTATTATCGTCGTCATCCTGCCGTTCGAGTAGGATTTTTTTTCCCATTTTTGAAGGACTGAGGAGAAAACGCCGCCGTCCATTCTCGGAAGTCAACACGCGTTGTCGGTTGTCTCAATTCCGGACAATATAATAATATTATTATTTTTATTCGAAAGCTCTGCACCGACGTTGCTACCGCACCCGTGGCCTAGCTACTATCTGTACAGTGTACATAATATTGTATGTTATGGTTTCAGTTAAGACAGGACAGTGATTCAAACGGACGGAATATTCTAATATTTATGCTAATGTCCCTGTATAGCGTAGTATTATATTATTATATTATTAACATCAGCATTATAAAATAATCTGAAAATACGTCTGCCGGTTGCAGCGTATGTGGTGAAGGTGCCTATTTATTATTTTTAATAGTCCCGTCGTTTCCTCTCTCGCCGCCCGCAGACGAACAACAATGTCTTGACGACGAACGTTCATGATTTTTTCATTGTCCGGCAGTTGTGCGTTGAAAACAATAGTCTCGGTGGCGGCCGTTCGTTATTCCCGTGGTAGCCGGTAGGTACCGATATCATGCACGAGTCGTAATTTAAGAAGACAATAATATTGTCGTCGATAATGTTTGTAAATTAATTTACTTCACGCACGCCAATATTACACGTTTCAAGGTCTTCGAGGTGTATAATATTGTATATTTTATTTCATTTTATATGCGCTTTGACGACAGTTTCTGTCGGGGTAATGCGTATTAATTATATTAAACTGGTAAAATTGGATTTATTTTTATTTATACGGTAGTCATTTTGGATTTTAATTATTCCGTCAAAATTATTTTTAAATAACATTAACGACGTGTTGGTATAATCTTAAGCTCGTAATTTATTATGAAAAGACAAAATTCCTACTATTTTGCCCATTGCTCATAATTCATATGTTTCGTGTATCTATAAAAAAAATAATTGCTCGATTGTCGAAGTTTTCACTTTTCGATCTCGGATAAAATATTGCAATATTATGCGCGTTTTTTTTATTTTAACCACTACCTCTTCGTACTTTAAGGATTGTTTTTCTTATATTAACAAATGTTTTTCCTTAAAATTATCCAGTTAATATTTAATAATTAAAAAAATACGACATTGTATCAGTTATGAAATTAAAAACTGAACGGATAATTTAAACGTTCTTGTAGTGCTGGGATTATATAGAGGGACATTGTAGATTCGTGCGAACGTGGTGGTTCGTACATAACTTAAATAACGGTGGCGCTATTTCTGGCATTGCAAATTGTTTTTATTACGCTGTATTTGAGTTGTCTCGAAAGGCTCGGCGGTAACTACTCCAAACAAAACCGAACAAAGGCGCCGTGCATATATAATAATAATAACAAAAATATATATAACAATTGTGTATTCGTTGAACGCTTATGATTATAATAATGTATGTGTTAAAAACATTAAACAGCAGCCCCGGAGACGGGGCAGACCAAACGAAAAAGTCGAGCCTGACGTGACGGAGGGTGGATGGCCGAGCATAGTGAGGCGGTGAGTAATTTCCGAGCACAACCCTATTAAGGCGCTGTGGCGGTGTAAAGTGTAACGGTCGCTTTTAAAGTAGCTTCGAGACATTTATAATTATTATTTATTGTTATGTCCTCCGTACAATAATATCCAATAACGTGAGATGTCGACTAGTCTAGTGTGAGTGAGGGAGAGAGAGGTAAAGAGTGAGAGAGCCACTCTAATACACTAAATTGAACCGCCGTCTCGTTAGTCGTTACCAACACAAAGTGCCAGCCATTCTAATATTTCTAAATCGGCCATAACAATCCCGTGGAGTTAAATTATATCGCTGTTGCCAGTTTATCGTTGGGTTCTCTTCGTAAAAACGATGGGAAAATCGACAAATTATATCTTTATTTGAGGTAATAACAACGATTTTCGTCGCCGAACTTCTGACCCACGATAGGAGCTATGATCGTATCTATCGGTGGTTCTATTACCAATACTGCACCTCATTATCGTATGCGTTTAAATATAGTAGACCTACGTACATATTTTTACCGTCCGACAACTTGTTCCGATCATTAGAAAATAGTCATAACAACGAGACTGTTGTGTTGTGCAATCTGCAGCTGATAAAATTATCAGTGATTAGTATAACGATTAGTAAATTCTCTGATTATTTTGGTCGAGCGATATTCGGAAAATCGTATTTCGAACGTATTGGCGGCATCGTTTGTAGAGTGCTACAGGATGTTTAAAATTAGGACGGCTATTAGTCTAAAAATTTCCCCGTATTTTTAAAATAACCACCAATGTGATATATTTGATATAAGGTTTGCTTTGCTCACATTACTAAGTATACCTATCAGTTCGATTTGATTTGATCTAAAATGAAGAAATATAACAGTATTTCGTCGAATTTTGTAGGTGCTAAGACTTCTAATACTAACATGAATCTGTTTCACACTAAGATACATTTTTTTCAAAATGTTGCAGTTAACAAATGCAAATTATAATTATACACTTATATTTTCACAACCAATAGTTGCAAAGTTTTTAAATAGTACTTTTTAATTTCTACTCAATGTTAGCTTTATGTTAATCGTACGATTCTCGTTACCTTATAGCCGTTAAAACAAGAAAGCTCTTATGATGTACGTATCACAATGAATCTCCTCCAATGTTTTAGAATTTCTCCGTCACCAATAAATTCCGTTACGGTGTACTAATTTCTTCGGGATTTTTACGTTTCCCACCTTATGGTGGACATCGTTATTCACATGGCCGTTTTTTTCCAGAGGGTGGTGAAGTGAGGGGAGGTGGTATTAAGGAGACACATATTATAGTATTATCATAAGTATAATAACCCGTTCCGTGACATCGCGCGGTGAGACCGCACGCAAGTCTTCGGGTCGATCCGGTTTATCGTTATGATGGCGGCACACACATGTACACATATTATTTAGTAGACGCGGATAAAAAGATGTATGCGTGCGTGTAAAAAAAAAGGGGAAAAAAACGAGTATCCAGGATGAATAATAATAATAATAATAATAATAATGGTCGTTGTGTTTAATCGGAGGAGCTGCGGCGCGAGAGGGAAAAAACAACCCGTGGACAATGGTGGCATGTTTATTATACATACACATATTATATATGGACGGACGAGTCGCTTCTTGTTATTGTAATACGTGTTTTATTGTGTTGTATGTATTATAATATATATTTGTGCGCATTTTTTTTTAAACATAAATAGACCCACGTATATCGAAA